AGTTTCTCGGTATTTATGTACGAAATTTAATTTGTAATTTACCATGAGTTTTTGGTGAAGGAAAACATCGTAAGAAACCTGTTCGTCGAAAAAGACAACCCTCGGAAAATGTGTAAAGCTCCCAACCCTCGCATGAAAGGAGATCTGATAAAAGACTGACGTTTCTTTTGTGCTGGTGATTAGTGAATGGCGATCGCACGCTTTTGTGATTTTATTTTTGTTTTTAATATTGACGCATCATATCCGGATTATAAAATTTTCTTTAAATGTTTCTATTCTTTGTTGGTAGGTACTGAAGTTGGTTGTTTTTTTGTTTATAAAAACTAGACATAAACTGGATTTTGTAAGAAATGTATGAATGTACTAAAATTAAATGTAAACCACCACTCTCTGTGTTCTACCATTAATATTTTATAAGCTTTACTGTAATATACTTAGTTATTGTAATAGACTAAGTTACTGTTGTTTTTAGGCAACACGCTTGACGGTCGTAAGACCTAGCTACCCATAGGCACATCTCTGTACCTATTTTTGTGTGTTTTGCAATAAAGATTATTATTATTTATGACATCGGCTTTAACTACCTAACATAATTTTTATTCTACCATAACTTTTTGTAATAAATATCATAGTGTAATGAATTTGATGATAGGCACTGCGTTGGTATAATACAGTTAGGAAAAAATCGTCATTCTAAATTAAAAAACAACATAAGTTAATAAACTATTAGAATATTAAAACTAGAAGTTAAAAAGTTTAGATTAAAATAAGCTTGTACATAAATTTACAGATTAATATCAATAAACATTCAATAATAAATTTACACATTTAAGTAAGTTTCCATTATTGAGCCATATGTATATTACAAATAAAGAGTTTACAAAGAAAATAAAAATGAAATGATTACAAAGGCTAAATGATTAAGATATCTACAGGTCATAATCACACTTTGTCGCCTGCACTTTCATAAATATTAATATTTTCTTATTATTTTTACGTCAATTTAAACACTACGTACTCTAGTGAACTTGGCGAGCCTTTGAAAGGCAAATAAATGAAGGAAAATCGAACCTAAATGAAGTCTAGTTAAATGAAGGACAGTCGATTCAAGGCTGTAAAACGTAATTTAGAATCGCTCTTAGAGGATTATACGCTAAATCTGATCATTGGTGTTTTTTTTTTCAACCAGGGAGGGATCAAGATACAACGAAATTAATGTTTGGCACTCGTTGTGGCAAAAATGGTGTGTTCATTTATCTACATAATTTTGTTATTATATTTAATTTGAAATAACTTTTAGCGTGTTATTGCGAATGATATGTTAAAATTTTAGTTTATGTTTAATGCGAGAATAATTATTGATGTTTATAAGTGTATACTGGTTTAAAATTAATTTTACTTATTATTTATTCACGGCGTCACCAGTTGGTGAGCGCCAATTTAAAAGATTATTTACAAGTAGAGAAGGATGTGGTCATTCTGGTAGGAGATGTGGATGAAGAAGGACACACCATTTTTGCCACCATGCGACTTCTATGACACAATTAGACAAGGAGACAGTTTAAATTTTAAGGCATTTTTCAATAGACATACATGGATTAATCCGCCAATCTACTTTTATATATAATTATATATAAATGGAGGATTATAAAATATTTGGTGTTTTCTTTTTGGGACTTAAAATTATATTATGTACCTTAAATATTAAAAATTGAATGAATCATATGAAAAAAATTAAAATAAATGTAAATTATAGTTTTAAATGAAGGTGAAATAAATGTAACTCATACGCAAAATTCATATAGCCTATCTAAACGATGTAATGTAATTATTATTAACCATTATGTTTATTTTTGCACAATAATTTTGTATATATAATATACGTCATAATATATCTTATAATTTCACCTAGCTAACATTAACCTCATTTTAATATAATGAAAGTTTTTGATTGTAATACATTACGTTATATATAATAGTCGTTTTGTAGAAACATAATCCGTGATTTAGCTGGAATAATAGCGCTTTGTAATTAGAAAATGATTGTGTAATCATTTAATACACTTTTGCAATTGTCATTTCTGAACTTCAGCCAACAATAGGGAACGAGCAAGGTACACTTATGGCTATCTGCAGGCTATAGCGTTAATTGCTGTTTCCTGCATTGCACAATTTCCTGGTTATTTTTCAACTGTTCCAATAGTTTTGAGTACTCTCAAATTTATGTGAATTTGTGATATCAAATGACAAGTTTTATGAGAAGATGGTTGAGCGACTATCATATATGAATTACTTTTAACGTATTCTAGTTATGAATTTCACAGTGCCTTGGTAATTTACTGTAACAGCCGAGCGTAAACCTGGTGGTAAAGTGACACGTTTATCCATCGCAAAGATCTGAGGACACTGCTTTGCACCCGTAACTCTGGCACATAAATTTTACAAGACCCCTGTGCTTGGGCTTCCCTGGATAAACTCTCACAAGGAGCTCTACTGTTACAAGAGAACTATTGTTCTGCTGTACGTGGCGCCGTGATAGCCATAATTGCTGCGTTGTCCCTATTTACATCACATCCGTCTACTGATTCATCATTGCATGACTTTGTTCAATGTCAAAAGACATCACATTGTCTACCAACATAACGTTATTACAAAATCTCGCTAAATCTTTGATTATGAAACTTTCCTACGACTTTAACATAGCTAATCTTATTTCCTAAAGGAAACGGCAAAGCCGCACCTTTTCTTCTTACGTCATGTAGCATATAACTATATGTATAGTTCGAAGGAAGTATATAGCAACAAGAGAAAGGCAACGACTCGTCCAGACTTGGAAATATACAGGGTAAAATTTTATTATATAACGATAGATATATATGTATATATATAAATAAATTTCACCCCTTAGACGTATGTCTTATCCAATAATAATATTTTGACGGTCGGCAATGTCTATAATTATATGTTTTATTATAGCTTATTACCTATTTTTTCGAATATATATTAACGCTTACTATATAGTTCACTACGTTCAAGCAATTATAGGCGTTAAATGTATTATTATTATGTATTATTTTTTTACTAAATTCTAGCATCGTTATATGGTTTACTATTCCTAAATTTGACTATCTAAATACTTTTGTCATACATTTTTGTGATATAATTCAGTTTTACGAAGAGGTTGCACCTCTTTTTGCAGGTTGTGTTTTTAATATTTATAAAATATAAGTTTAACGGGCTGTTTTTATTTGACGCTTATACAAACTTGGGGCTGCTATTCCATGTGCGGCATTTGCTCCGGTACTACAAGCTCCAAGAAGGTCATTCTTACATCAAAACATTTGACACGAACATGATTTTGTCTGGAATACCGACCCATTTGATCTATAGCTACCAAACAGTAGCATAAAAATAACTTCGAAATCGTTATTTATCATATTAAGCAAAAAACTTTTGATCCTCTCTTCCTTTTTCACATAATTCTTACTTCTAGAACACTGTACGACCATTCCTATGCGAGTTCTCAGATGCCTTTAAAATTATAGTTTTATAAATACTCAAAACACAGACACGCTGCGTTCCTTCATTATTCTCGATTGACAGAAATGACAAAATTGACTTAACAATTCGTTCCTTATCTTCAAATTAACTATGTCATTATAATTTTAAATATTTATATATAAATATCTTAATATAATACCTAGCGATATGTCTCTCAAGATTCTCTACATGCTCAAAAAGAAAAAGCTAAATAGAAAAAAAAACTACGACAGTCAAACGATAACTTTTTAAATATAATATATAAAATACATCACTTACAAAATATTAATCGAATTTTAGCACTGTTTACAGACACAGTGCTGTTTAAAAATGTTTCAAAAAAGACAGTTGTTAGTAGTTTTTCCTACTTTTTTTTTATTATTTTTTTATAGAACACTAATTTTCTCTTTAGAGTCTCGCTCAACTTAAAAACACTTCAAAAGAAAAGGTAGGAAATATCTGAATCTTGGGCCATGTCCTGTACACTGAGAAGTAGATAAAAAAATGAGATTTTTTCTTCATTCTCACTAGAGTACTGCGTTTTAGAAATACGATTTTTTTCCATTTTTTTTCCATTTTCCTGTAATATTCAAGACATGCTCCAAGAAGTACCTTTTCCTTTTTCGATTCTAAAAGTCAAAAAATGACTTTGAAAAATGAAAACTAAGTATAGTCAATAGATAACAGCCAAAGTCTCAACGGAAAACGCGATTTTATTTGAGAGAAAACGAACGTAACACACACACACATTTACCATTTTTCATCTAACTACAGTAAATGATTAAATGCATCTTAAAATCTATTGCAATAAATATTTTTTCCTTTCACTTAATCACCTAATAAATAAATCTAATATTTTCACTATGTTTTTTTTCGGTATTTTTTTATTTCAAATTTCATGTATCCATTTTTATTATTAGACACAACCATCTTATTTTTAACAGTAGGTATGTATAATCTTCTCTTCGGATCTGAATTTGGCATTGATGAAATAAAAGGAAAACAATGACTAGAAACTCTTTGGTAATAAGGTCTTGACCAATACCTTCAACATACTGAATTAAAGGCTGTTCATCGTGCTTAAAGTATTGCTGTTCATCAATAATATAGATGGTATTGCTGTTTAGCTATACTACTATACTGTTCATCATGCTATTTATCAACGAATCTTGCTTTCGGTAAACAAGATCTTCTAAACTATTACCACTATTCTGGGCTTGAGTACCCTGTGGTACGGCATACTGTTTAAGCAGAAGCTCAGTCTAAGCTATCATTTAAAGCATTATAACTAATTGAGTTTGATTGTTGGTTGTTCGAGTTGGTGTTTTGCAATGGCATCTTGATACAATACTGTCGTAATCACGACGATATTGGCCAAGTGATACCGTTCTAGCCCATTATTCAGTATGTTTAGATATTTTTGACCTGATTCAACTATTCGTTATTCTATCTTGCCTTACCTAGCTTCGACGGCAGGTAAAAAATTGTCTTAAAAAATTTCTCACTCACAAGATGTTCTACGTCGCTACATCTCCTATTAAACATGTTTCCAAAAATCTACTTTTTCCTCTACGCTTAACCCCTAACTTGTGCTATCAGATGTTGTTTTGGTACTGACCACCGTGAAAAATTGTCCCACCTATTTTTTTTTTACAAAAGAGTGAATTTGCAACCTTTATTGGCCCGCGTGTTGACTGATAACTTCAATTAAACCTAAATCCTTACATTAACCTTAGTTAGAAAGAACTATATAATATTTTCTAAAAGTACTTTTAATATTTTTAAATTTAACGCATTCTCATGCAATCATAAGCAGCGATAGAAACTAAATCTTTCGATAAATTGTGACTCACATTTTTCTGAGATTTTGTTTAAATTTATTCGTAGATTATTTTCAAAATCTTTGACCCGTATTATGAGGGTAAATGTAACTTAGGACTAGATTTTTTCGGCTTAGCCGTTTTTTAAATTATATTTTAGCACTATTCGCGCTCGATCCGCTGCCGTCACATCACTTCAAGGAAATAATATTCCCTTCTCTCAAATAAATGATGTGGCTTGTTAAATAAATGTAATTATAATTAGTATAAAGTAATAAGAAAAACTCAATAATAAAGCCAAATTCATTTCTTACTAGCCTTTGATTTTCGTGAAATTAAGTCTCAATCGTGTTCGATTCACAATATGTCTAATCCTTAAGCTGTTTTCGAAATCGCGCTTACAGCCCGCGCAGGCGCATAGTAACATTGAATCATGTTAGTATTGCACTATCGACTGTTGTTTGCAACTATCGTGACTTTGAAAACTGATGGCAATATTTGCTGTTTTTCATGGTGAAAGTATTGCTGTTCATTTATACTATCGGTGGTATTTTGCTGTTCAGCAATAATATTATCTGCAGCGCTCAATCCATAACACCTACATGAGTTTGAATGTCTATTTGTTGCGGGTGCATTAATGTTCAACTTAAACTGTTTCATTGACATATCAAAGCAATGACCACATAAAGTTGACACGCGTTGTTTTGTTCATTGCGTCTTGAATTTTGCGTTTCATTTATTGGCAAAGTTATTTGTTAATTTGCACTAAAAATACAGTACGAATTTTAAATGAACCAATCACAAGATTTTATTAAACCGAGACCGGAATAGACCGAGTATATTTACCTAAATTGAGAGGCAAATATAAAAAAGGGGAAAATATTTTTACTTTACAATTACAAAAGAATTCTTCCAAATAAACTACCGTAGTAAAGAACAACGTACAATAAAATATAAACGAAAAGAGCCTTCTTGCAGTGGCGTACTATTCATGTCCTTTTTAATAACCTCCGAGGTCGGTTGTCCCGGGTTCGATCCCCGGCCGGGTCAGTGTAGAAAACTAACTTTTCTATATTGCCTCGAGTCTGGGTGTTTGCGGTACCGTCGTTGTTTCCAATTTCCATAACACAAGTGCTTTAGCTACTTGCTTTGCGATCAGAATATTTCTATATAGTCTAATACTAATATTATTTATTTATTGATCTGTACTTCTGGTTCGATTGAAAAATCCATTTTGCCATCACTATGGCAACCATGTCCTATACATCATCATGGCGGACATTACTTTCGACACGGGTAGCGACAAATAAATGCTGGACCAGAATAATAATTTCAGAGGGAGTTATAAGAGTTGATAAATTTTTCCCGTACTAATAGTATTCATTTTGCTTGGGTCGAGCGACAGCAACACTGGCTTCATATTTCAGAATTTACTTTTTTACAAACTAAGTTAAAGCCATTTGAAAAGTGTATATCGTATACTATACGTGTTATATTTAGTTTAGTTGCTTAGAATAATAACGCATAGAAACCTAGTCCGCACACGCTAAGTGAGGCAAATTGAAGCGCGCCCAATGGGCCTACACGAGCGGGCGGGCCGTCAGTGCTCAAGGTCAACTTGCACCGCGAACAGATCAAGAATTTTAGCTAAAAATGACGTAATGTGCGGTAAATGAGTGTAAAAATACGTCAGACAAACATAAAATAGATACTAACATCACATTCCACAAGGAAGTAAGGCGTTTCAACTTGTATTTTTATATAAATATTCACTAAAACCGAAAATTAACCTACTACTAAAACTAGCCTACATGAATTTGATTTTTGCCTCACTTGTGACAGTTCGTTTGATATGAAACTATCATTCTATGCGTTATTATTCTAAGTTCAGTTGATGTAAAAAAAAATCATTGGTACTAAGTACTTATTGAATACAACGGTTTTCTTTTTTTTTCGAGGCAAGTTTGTGTTATTTCTCTATCGTGAAAATTTTTAGCTTTATTTTTTTTTTCACAACGTATATTAATCCTATATATTTTTTCCAAAGTGATTGGTTCAACACTTTCAGTGCTATGTGGAATCAACCAAACGCATTTGAGGTTATACAGAAATATGAGGTAAATATACTATGACTATTCCGAATTTGGTGATAAGGTAATTACGTACTGTATTGTTTTAATAATTAAGTCCATAATGCCTCGAGCTACGTTCCGACTGCATTTCAATTGCTAAAAAGCACTTTCATCATACTTGCTTGTAAATAATAACTTGTAAATTTGTCATACAGTCCTAGGGCGATAATGTTTTTTTTTAAATTCTGCCCCAAAACTAAATTCTCGCCAAAACTGCAAGTAATTTTTAATTTAATTTATAAAAACCAATTTATTTTTTATTTTATTTTTAATAATATTTAAAAGACGTAAATAAACCTAGATAAAAAAAAATACGTTTTATTCTTATGTAAAGCTAAAGCAATAAGTTCTAATATTAAAAAAAAATATTTATGTAAGATTTCTTTGTAATCTAATTTTCCTTTTTTTCATTTCCTCGCAATTATGATAAAAATATTGTATGCCCCACGGAACGTCAATTATAAACGTTCGGGCCATTCACGGCTCGAGTTTTGAACGTCTCTGTTCGCAATAACCCACTTACCGCCCTTGTGATGTAATGTACTAAAATGCAGTTGAAAAGCAATCGGCAAGCTCATCCATATAGAGTGCTAGCTAACTTTTAAAGTTTACGTTTGGTCGTTCTGTAACGAGTATACAATTTAGCATTCGTTTTAATCATGAAATAAACAAACTAGTGGACATTTGAAGTCGTTATTCCTTTATCCCTAAACATAAAAAAAAATTGAAGACAGCGCCATCTAGTTTTCAATAAAGGAACTTCAAAGACATCATATTAGCTGTTTAGTAGAATAAGTAATTACGATATTTTTTATTATCAGTAGTAAATTTTAATGGATTCAAATAAGGTTAATTTTACAACGGCTTTGGTACAAAAGCCGCTGGATTTCATTTCATTAGTTTGTTCATTCCATGGTTTATTTCGTTAGTTACTAGAGGGTGCAAATGACACCTGTCAAAATTTCAAAAGTAGGTAATCAATCGTCTTTGACATTAGTGACAGCTCAAGGGAGGCTTAGATAAAAATTATCGTTGTTTAAAAAAGCGACTGTCGAATCGCTTTTCATTGCAATGTTTGTAAACAACACTATGTTTGAGCGAAATAAATGTTTACAAGTACAGTTTAAAAATACTGATAAGTTCCTTTGTATAATAAAGTCACATGTGATCTGTCAGAAGTGAATCACAACAATAATACAAACTACTGTATGAATCCAATTGAAGAATAAGAAGAACTAATTTCGTTCGTACAATTTTTAGCCTTTTCTCCTATAAAGTTATCATTTTGCAGATGTGACTATATTACAACAAGGGTATGAATTAGTATTTGCCTAAACTCGATTAGAATTGTTTCAAAATTAATTCAAAACTTTGGAAAAAAAACTAAAAAATACTTTCTAAACATTAGTGAATAGATTTTGCGATAAATTCATCGACAAACAAAAATTTCACATAGAATAGCACTTTGAAAAGACCACAAATAAAGATGAGATGTATAGAACAATTGAAATGATAAATCAAGAACAGCGTTGGGAAACAGCTGTTAAAGGCCGGCAAGGACAGTTTTGTAAAAAGACCGTTACTCAAGAACAGTTTAGTGAAAAGACCGTTTACTCAAGAACGGTTTTGTGAAAAGACCGTTACTCAAGAACAGTTTTGTGAAAAGACCGAACAAGTACAGAGTTTATGAAAGACCGTAACTAAACAGGGTGTTGATTCGTCCATTCTTTGTGTAGGCAGCAGCAGGAGTCGGGCGGAGCGGTGCGTTGGCCTCACACGAGGAGGCTGGGGGCAAGCCATTCGTCCTCACTGATCTGTAATAAATTTCGTTGTCGTTTCTTTATTTACTATGTTCATGGACCCATAACGCAAGAGGACTGATATACTCCGTCCAACAATTGATTTAACTTTTGACATATGCATGCCTCCGATTTTCCTTAATTATTGACATAGAACCATAGACAAAAATGCAATACTTCCTGGACTCGCTTACTTAAAAAATAAAAGATTTATTATATGTATTATTTTTAATTTTAGTGAAGCGATGTGCTCTTTAGCTCCGGTATTTATCGAGTAAACAGATTATGTAACGAAGATTATTCAAGTTGATAAATTTTGGTACCTGTCTAATAAATTATAATTAAATGAAATAAATTATAAATAATTATAATAAATTCTTATTGTTTATTATAATGAAATGTCGGATTCTTCTTCATATGAACGGGAATCGTCACTTGAATCCTCAATAACATTAATTATTAATTCTTGAGTATACAAATTGTCAAACGCAACATCACGATCATAATCAGACAATATCTTCCTTTTTGAACCCGCTCACATTCACGATTAAAACTTCTTCATAAATAAAATCGATTGTTATAAAAAATCGAATCGGAAACGCATTAGGACATCACTAATTGACTAGAATTCGAGCTGTCAAAAGTCAAATGGTTGGACGGAATATAATCTTCATATTACATTAAAAAAGGTCAAAATTCTATCTTATGTACTTAGATTGGATCTAGATGGAGCTGATCATCGAGTATATAACCAGAAATAGAGACGAAATAAGGGCCATACATTCCTGGTAAACTCATAAGTGATACATCAATTATAAATATCAACTCTCGTTTGCACTGAAATTACAAATTAGAAAGCTGAAATAGTACAGCGCCAACAACTGTGTGTTACGTCTTCGTATATTCCAAAAATATTCTGTATTTATTGTAATAGAAGATAATATCTCTAACAATGGCGTGCTGTTCCATTCGGTGGTGTGGGGAAAAACAGAAAAACATCTAATTACAAAACAAACGGAATCAAATTCCATTGGTAATTAAATATTAAATATGTAATTTTCCCACCATTACAGCAAAGTTCAAGTTAAACTGGTCGATTTGAAGTGAAACAATTGACGACACACGTCAATATAGCAGAATAGTTTTCAAACAAATTAAATGACATTTCGTCTCTATTTCTGGTTATATACTCGATGAAGCTGATCAATAGCTAGGACGTAGTTTATATTATGTAAATGACCGTGGATATCAATTGATTCATCTTAAATATGAAATATAAAGTCAGTTTTTCTCCTTGTAATACTATACAAAGGCGTGCAAAAGATCAATTTTAAATTTGCAAAAGTAGTAGGTAAAAATCTAAACCTTCATCTTTTTTAATGATTGATCCCTTTTCTCTGAGACACAAATAGTAGTTAAAAAGGAATTAAAATACGAGTGAGTGTTTTAACGCTTAATTATGTACAATTACACCGCTTTATCTACACACATATTATAAGCTCTCTGTGATGTGTTCAAGAACCGCATGTTATGACTGGCGAAATGGCGGCAAATAAAAACCTTTCTCACGCATGTCACACAACCGCAGTTTTTATTTTTAATTCATAGAGAAACTAGAGTCGGCCCCAACTATCATATCGTTCGCTATTGACATTTCATTTCGAATAAAACTTCATCTCGACTGGTATTAGAATTGAGGTCCAATCAAATTGTTTTGCTTTTCAGAGATGTTTGGAATTTTAATGTCATAATAAAATCGAATTCGATGTTATTAAGAAGCAATAATAACATTTTCACAGACAAGAAATTTGTTCTAACAAAACAGTTTACCTATAAGATGGTCGTAATTTGCGGTTTTTGAACACATTATAGAGAGTTTATGATATGTGTGTAGATAAATAAATTAACTCAATGGATATTCATGAATAAAATATCTAATTTATTTTTTATTTCGAGATATTTCCTTAAAAGAGAGATGCTGTTAAATTTAGGTTTACAATTGAAGCCCTATTATTAAATTGACATTTATCTCGAAACTTGAAAATTGCCCAGCGGTTTAATTACACACCGCGCTGCCCGCTGCCGGGTCGGTCGCCATGGGGCGCTTGTTAACATTGGATATGTGTCAAATTTTCTCCGCTATCTCTCTTTTGTAGAAAAAAATGTGCAAGCAAATTAATTTCCTTCCATTTTGATTAACATGGGTTCCTCAAAGCAATACCTGATCAAATACTTACATTTGTGCCGTAGATGTCAGGTAATAGACTGCACCTGGAAGTGCTGTTTCATACTTACCATGCGTTGTTACACCTGGATTTTTAACCTACAATATAAGGAGAGCAACTTACATCTACGCCTGGACCGTCCATGCTGCAAGGGAAAACACTTACAGCTATTGCTGGATGGTACTGACCGGCTGCACCTGGAAGTGCTGCAACGGGTAGTGTAGCACAGGGGGAGGCTGGGACATGGCTGCCACTCCACCGACTGAGCCTACGCCACCTACGCCGCCTACACCACCTCCAAGAGCCCAGGGGAGTTGCACGCCGCCCATGCTGGAAAAATATAAAGTTATAAGTTTCTCACAGGTTTACACACTGCACCGCGTCTCGAGCCGGAGCGGAGACGCAGATCTGCGTCAACGTGTGGTTTAATCTGCGCGGAGCAGCGGTCTAGCGGGCCCCGTGTCACTTAAAGTACTCGCTTTGCAGTTGATCGTCGTAGTGATTGTATATGTAGCCGAGATCCTTCTTTGACAAGGATGGTTAATAATAAAGAACTTATTCAGGACGCTGCAGTTGTACTGTCTATTTGATTTTTGTTTACTCAAATAAAAAGATACCCAAGATATTTGACACATCCCTTTTTACGAACCAGATCGATAAATAGATAATTTGAAGTTCATTACAAAGATTTAAGAAAATATGAAGATAAATTTGGTCGATTTTCAATAGCAAATATAAATTTATCGACGTCGAGATCTATTAGAAAACTGAACATGTCCTTAAGCATAAAAATCTGCGCGGTAGTGCGGAGTGCAGTGTGCTATACCCTGAGGTTCACTGCGCCCCTGCGCGCGGGGGCGGAGAAGCGTAGTCAGTGTGTTCGACGGCGTGTGTTTTCAATACAAACTGAGGTACTTCAGTACAACGTTAAAAATCGCCTAATTATTGCAAGTATAAAATTAGTTTCTGTTTTTAGGACTCTTATTTTTTTAGTTTAGTCTTATTTATACGTATATCCTTGCTGAATGTATGTGAAGCTAGTAAGTTGTGTCAGGATAGACCACGGAAGAAAAAAAGCTATGGAATTGCCTTAGGCCTCGATTACTATCAGAACCGATGTTGGCGAAAACTCACACGCTTAATATATTTCAAACTTTATCCTGTTGGCATATCGTTGAAAGTACAATAGCATCAATACCTACTATTCCAAGTTACGATGTTTTGATATTATATTGAAATTTCAACCAATGTGCTGCCATCTAGCGGGAGTTTAGTGGTAGTTTAGTAACTCGAGTGAGTTTCACGACTCGATTTTTTTAGACTCGAGTGCGTGCTCCGATGATTCGCGTTCGACCGACCCGTGAGCATTTTATGCCACCGAGTCGTGCAAAATTGAGTAGAGTTTATAAATAAAGACTTAGGGTCGTATTCTAGAAGTCTACTCAATGCTCAAGTCAGGATTTGAGCAGACTTGAGTATGATTTCAAGCACTGGAAATACGACCCTAATGCCAAGGACTTGAGTATGATTTCTAGTGCTTTGAATCATACTCAAGTGTACTTGAGTATGATTCAAAGCACTTGAGCATTGAGAAGAGTTCTAGAACACTACCCTCAGAGTCTTTTATAACACTAGTCTCTTTCGCTTTTTCAGGACAGAAAGTTTTTCATCAGAAAAAACTTTCTCGCTCATTGCGTTATTACCACTTAAAGCAACTTACCCCATATACTGTTGCTGGTATCCTGCAAACTGCTGCGCATATGAGTAGCCCTGAAAATAATACGTTTGTCATTTAAGAATTGCGTCGTGTATTAAAAAATTAACAAGGAAAGAAAGAAATGTTAATTTGAATTCAATATAACTGTATTTTATAAGTTTCGGAAGTTTTGCTCTCTCTCTCTCTCGATAAAATAAAAACAAAATATATTTTTCTACTCCTGTACTCTTTTATCTGTCAATTAAAATTTCATAAGCCAAATGGACAAAGGCCCTCCTTTTGAGTACAGAACAAAATTCTATTGTATTCGCTACCGAACTGCGAAAATAAATCTTGACAAAATGGAAAAAATGCATACATAATTGTGTGTCAGGCAGTGCTGCGACTCCGTTCCTTAATTTTTTTCCATCCTTGCGACTCCGCTGTTTGTTTCTTTTTTTTGGTATTGTTTTTTCCATTGGAAAAGGCTTTCATCAAATATTGGTTGTGTTTATTATTTTATTTCCTCGAAGAAAAAGTATTGTATGCAATCGCTACGTAATTTGGTCTTAAAATATCGTACCTATTACTTAGGTATCGACCGACCATGGCTGTTATGAGAAGAAAAAAGGCCCGAGGTTTTTATTTGGGACATTATAGCCAAGTCAGCCTACATGTAATCACACTACGTACGTGCAAGTGTGACGAAAAATATTGTACGTTCCACGAGCGATACGAGAATTACGAACTCGACTCCGAAAGCCCTCAGTGTTCGACTTCGGGCTTCTAATGGAATGTTGTACGTAATTCTTTATTTACCGCCGTTAATACACAATGTACTATTACGTACCTGTACGCCCTGTACGCCTTGCAAGAATCCCCCAATCTGTTGGGGGTACGTGTTGTACCAGTACGAGGTGGGTGGTACGCCGCCAGCTGTGTATGCCGCTCCGAAAGGGCTGTACGCTGTGCCGCCAAGCTGAAATACAATATTAATATTACATACCAGTTTCGTACATAGATCGTACTTGGTTGAATGAGACCATGGGAACTGTAAAGAGGTTGAAATGTTGGTTTGTTAGGAAAAAACAAATGACAATTTTTCAGGAGAGAGTAGCTGTAAGAGCTCCTTGTTAAAGAGTTCGTCCAGGGATGTACTGTCATCTTACCTATTTCTGCCGCCACGCAGTAATGTGACCATTACTGCGATCCGGTTTTAAAGTGACAGGGTGCTAGTGTAATTACAAGGGATTTCTCAATTTTATGGGTGGCGGGCGCAGTTGCAGTGCCCACTCAGATTTTGGCGAGGTGGCACTGTAATTGTTGTCGACAGGCGTTGTGTTGTGTTGTGTGTGTTGCTTACCACTGCCTAGTGGTAAGCAAAGCACGACTCTCGTCTCGTCACTAAAAAAGTTTGTTTATCGGCTTTTTTATTGGAATTACATATGTTTAACTGCCTCCATGGCCGGACGGTTACCATGAGGAACTGCCATGCAGAGGTCCCAGGTTCGATTCCCGGGCGGGGAGAAATATTTGTATGGCCTACATTTATTTCTCTCGTGAGTTTCTGGTTGTCTATGTGTGTGTCCATGGCACCCGCGACACGGGGTTTCCCTAGTGCGGGGCTATGTTGAGTGTGTGCCTTGTTTTATTGGAATCGGTTAACGGAAAGTGCGCGAAACCGGATTCATCCCCTAGTTTGGCACCCTTAAAGGTGGAATATTTTTTTCAAAATTAAATGGGACCAATGCGGAGGTATCCTCGTTCCAACAAAAAGAGAATCATCAAACTCGGCTCACAAATGCCGAGATTATTGCGTAACATGCGTACAAAAAAAAAAACAGTTAAAGTCGACTCGATCTATAGAATATTTTATAGTTTTTGATATTATGGCGGGCCACCGGAAGAGACGCGGGAAAATTTGTTTTGCTGGGTCAAATGGTTTAGCATGAATTTGAGAGCCTTTGAGTGCTTTTGAGTGCCTTTGACACTCAAAGTGACTTAAAGGCACACGCGGGCGCTCGTAGGCACTCGCGGGCACTCAAAGGCACTCATTGGCACTCAATGGCACTCATTGGCACTCACTGGCACTCAAAAGCACTCCAAGGCACTCAAAGGCACCCAAAGGCACTCATAGGCACTCGCGGGCTCTCGCGGGCACCCAAAGGCGCACAATGTTCTCGGTGAGGGAGCGCCCTTATAGTACCAACTCTTTCTCTTTCAACTACCATTTTCCTTGCTACTGAAGTGAAAAGTTGTGTGTTACGCTAGGCAGCAAAGTTGTTCAATCAATTCAGTTCTATCTTAACCCCCTTGCTAAGGTTTCAATAGTAGCACTCGCGTTAAACCACAACTTTGCCTTGCATAACTTTGACTTTGATGTTATTATGATGACTATTGGGCCAACATACCTGTCCTTGCGCTTGCGCGTTATTCGGGTCCCCGGACTCCTTGCCCCACGAGCATTTCACAGGTTGTCCGTTCACGTCTGTGTTGTGCACCGCTACAATTGCGTGGGTAGCGCTTTCTTTCGTCGAAAATCTGGAAACCACCATAATCCAATGTTAGTTTAATTCAAAATAAGGATCAGGAAAGTAACGTTTTAAGTAACGTTTTTCACAAAAAATTGACCACTAAGGTCAAGTGGCTTGTACATCGGTTTTCACGCTGTTTGCATGTCTCTGAGGTCCCTGGTTCGATCCCCGGCCGGGCCGATGTAGAAAAACTAACTTTTCTACATTATCTCTGTCTGAATTCATTCACACACTGGCTTTTACCTTTTCTTAAAGTAATGCGTCCAAATGAACATCCTTGATAAGAAATTTAAAATAGATAGAAACTTTTGCCGTCTCCTGTATAATCACTCTTTATAAGATACGAGTTTGAGAAAGTATGGCATTTCGCTTTGGGTTAATGCCACCGGTATTAATAGAATCTTTACCTTACAGAAACGTACGGTTAGGGCAGTTTACAACCTGGGCCTTATCTTTGAGAAATAAGTTTAAAATGATTAACATTCCACTAACGTCGCAGTACATTTACGAAAATGTCATTTATATTAAGAAAAATATTAATTTATTTATGAAAAATAGTGACAGTTATAACATTAATACGAGGAATAAAAATAAACTAGCTGTTCTTGATAGTCGTCTTCACAAAGCCTCAAATTCATTTAAGGTGCAATGTATACGCTTCTATAATAAGATTCCGATACGATATTTAAAACTATTGTGAAACAAAAAATTAGACTAAAGGTTATTATCAATGATCAGAATAGACTTTTTTTTGCCTAAATTTCGAGGAACATAGACAGAAAATGCAGACTGCCTTACGACGATATTTTTTAGGTTCTGGATCTTTTCGGGATTGGGGAAATCTCTTAAGTACATAAAAAATTGACGTTTTGGGATAGGCAGGTAGACCATATTTATTTTAACTTTGCGACGATTTGTTGCAACACCAAATTTTCGGAATATTTACGAAAAGTTCTGACAATTACATGAAAATCGAGTCACAAAGTTAAAACGTATTAGAGTACGACGAGTCTTTGAGTTTTAGGATTCCACAGGAATGTCCATAAATCAACAGAATGTTTGAAATATACAGTGCTTTTTAATGAGAGTGTGTGGAGAAATAAAAAACTATAGAATATGCAAGGAAACTGTATGTGGAACTATGAAATATTTTTTTGTGGAAACAATTTTGGCACAGTCAATTTTTTGATCAAGTGTGAGTTGTCCATAAAAATGGACAAAATTGATCAACATTTCTTTAGCGCTGATCGACTCAGTTTCATGAAGGAATCAGAATGAGATGAAAAATAGGGATAGCAGACGTTGGTCAAATTTAATTTAAAAAAATTGGATATGGTTTCGGATTTCCTCATGATGTCCCATTTAAAAACAGTCTGTATATCTTAAAAACTCTAAAATTAAATTAAATTAAATAACTGTTTCCAGTTTGGCGGGTCTTTGTAAAATGTACACTCAGAAAAAAAATATTGGAAAAAAAAAAAGATTTTTTTCGTCGGAATTTTCCTAAATATTCCGAAAAATTGGTGTTGCAACCACTCATCGCAAAGTTTAGATAAATATAGTTTACCTGTCTCAAATAACGTCAATTTTCAACGTACTTAAGAGATTTTCCCAATCCCGAAAAGATCCAGGACATTTTTTATAAAAATATTGTCGTAAGACAGTCTCCACTTTGTGACTCTGTTCATCGAAAAAAACTCTACCTATTTCAATCACTGGTTATTATACAGCTTCTGTGTACTTGGATGACAAAAATCCGTGGTGACCTGTTTAGGTCTTGCAGATATTCTCGACTTGTAAGGTATTTAAATTAAATATTGTATAAGATAAATATATTCAAATGTATATTTACAAAAAGCAACCCCTAGAATTACGAATGAATTTGAATTAGACTTTCATACCACGAAAGTAATCAGTAGATAACTTTCTTACTTCTTAGATCAAAATTGATATAAACAATATAAGGGTTCCGAGGCAAAACCCATTAAGTAGCGAATTGATGGTTTTGAGTTAATTGAAAATTTAATACCAATTAAATATGCTTAAAAGTGAAATAAAAGTTAGTAAATGCTAAATAATTATACTAGAAAATATATTTAAGGTTGTATTTTTACTCTTTATAGTTAGGTATATAATAGTAAAATAAATGACATAAAAATCATATTTAATAGTGTACAGATTTATTAGGTTATAGCACGAATAAAATTCATAGCTTTTTAACTGACTTCAAAAAAAGGAGAAGGTTCTCAATTCGACTGTATGTCTTCGGTATTTGTGAACCGATTTTCATGATTCGTTTTTTGTTGGAAAGAGGGTACCTCCGCAGTGGTTCCATTTAATTTTGAAGAAAATCATCCACGTCTAATTATTTTAATGTTTGTTTTTGCTACTGTCCAATTCAAGGCGTTTTTCTCTCTCAATATATTTTGAGTAGTGAGAACCGACTTTTATTGTCTCCTGTGTCAAGTCCCGTATAATGGTGCACTTTCCGGTAACCGATTTCAATAAAAATTGGTAATTATATGTAATTCCACATACTTTTGAGGTGGGTTTTTTAGTACTGTGTACTGAGATTATAAATTTGCAATTTAACTGCCTCGAACGGTTACCATACTGGACTGCCACGCAGAGGTCCCGGGTGCGATTCCCTAGCCGGGAGAAATATGTGTATGGCCTAAATTTATTTCTCTCGTGAGTTGGGTGTAATTTGTCTATATATATGTGTATCCATGACACCCGCGATCTATTTCCCTAGTGCGAGGCTATGAGTGTGCGGGTTATTTTGTACATTTTGGTTTAAGATGTGAATATACCGGGAGTTTAACTAAATCTTTTTTGTGTTACACTCATAAATCTACATGGATTCTATCATTGAAAATTGCATGAAAAGTACACTTAGGTTAGATAGCTCATTTTTACACGATTTTAATTCCGCTTTTCCCTTTCCATCATCGGGGGACTAGACGTAGGCATGGGTTTCACCCCTATGTTGTGGATATGCCAAAGATTCGAACGAAAGAGGCCAACGGCTATGGAGTGGAATTCCCTGCCTACAGGCTTGTTCCCTGAACGTAATAACTTGGACCTTTTCAAGGCGAGAGTGAATAGGCATTGTTTAGGTGTGCGTGCTCCATAGTCGACCTCATCGTTACTTTCCGTCACTTTAGATGGAGGTCAAATGCGCATTTACATTTGAATAAAAAAAAAATACAAAAAATCAACACTTAACTACCTCCGTGGCCGAACGGTTACCATGCCGGACTGCCACGCAGAGGTCCCAGGTTCGATTCCCGGGCCGGGAGAAATATTTGTATGGCCTACAATTATTTCTCTCGTGAGTTTGGGTGTAATTTGTGGTTGTCTATGTGTGTGTCCATGGCACCCGCGACACAGGGTTTCCCTAGTGCGGGGCTATGTTGAGTGTGTGTGTTATTTATTTATTTATTTATTTATTTATTTACTTATTGTATTTTGCCTCGGAGCCTTTGATATAAAGCTGGTATTCTACAGTGACTGAGGAACATATCGAATACCTTTATGAACAAATTATCTTATTGAACTTGAAACAACATTATGAGTTAATTAATGAAAATGGTGATTTTAACCCATATCTCATCTCATATTTTGACTTACACAAGGCGTTATTACGAATACGTTGTATAACACGACCAACTCAGGCAACAGCACACACGTTTACTCCTTTATTGGTAATGAAAATAGGGCTAATTTTCAATATCAGTAATAAGTCCCTTGTAATTCAGCTTCCACTAGTGTATACTAGTGGAAGCTGTATGGATTGGCATTGTGACTAAGTTGACATGGCCAACACAGCCAACATTTTTACAATGATTATTAAAATATATATGTCTTATTATTATTTTTATTACTATATCAAAACCATGCATGCACATCCCACCGCTGAACACGAATCTTTTCCTACGAAGGGTCGAGTATTTTAATATTGAATTTGGAGTTGGTGTATTGTTATTTATTTCATATTAGTATTAATTTTTTAACCGACTTCTAAAAAGGAGGAGGTTCTCAATTCGACTGTATGTTCTTTTTTTGTTGGAAAGGGGGGTACTGCCATAGTGGTCTCATTTCATTTTGAAGAAAATCATCCACCTTCAAGGCTGGCTGTTCACGCATGAAGATTCATTTTCATAAATAGCGCCTAACATTAATTTAGGAGCAATTACTTTAAAGGTTGATTTTGCTATTACTCCAATTCAAGGCGTTTTTCTCTCAATATACTTTGAGTAGTGAGAACCGATTATTATTATCTCCAGTGTCAAGTCCTCTATAGTGGCGAACTGGGGGATATTTCAATAAAACTTAATAAATAGACGTAATTCCACGTACTTTTGAGGTCGGATTTTTTTTACGTTAGTCAATACATCAACCGACACGTGGGCTAAGATCGTCATTATCATTAATTGAATCATTCATCAATTAGCAAACACGGATTATAAAGGCAACATGTTTGCAATGGATAATTATGTTAGCCAATATATCAGCTGTTACGGGCACAAAGATCAACGTCATCTTTCACATAATTCATCAATCTTTTCTTTAACTTTCTTCTCCGTTTGTATCCCTTCACATTCACACCTAACACTCTTCTCGTCACATGATATCATTGAGTATACAACCAGAAACAGAGACGAAATAAGGGCCATCCATCCCTGGCAACTCATCACGCAAAAGAACCTTATATCACTTTTAAACATCAACTCTCGCTTGCGCTGAAATCACAAATTAGAAAGCTGAAATAGTACAGCGCCAATAACTGACATGTGTGTACGTCTCCGTATATTCCAAAAATATTCTGTATTTATTGTAATAAAGATCTCTAATCTCTAACTATGGGGGGCTGTTCCATTCGGTGGCGTGGGAAAAACAACAAAACATCTAATTACAATACAATACATCGATTTTCATCGGTTATTAAATATTAAATATGTAATTTTTCAATTTTCGTCCAATTATATGTATACAATTATAGTAAAGCTCAAGTTAAAGTGGTAGATTTGAGGTGAAACAATTGACGACACCTGTCAATTGTTTCGAATTCGGATTGGCCAATCGGAGCGCAATTGTCACCGTAATTATTGGGGAGAGTAGTTTTCAAACAAATTAAATGAAATTTCGTCTCTATTTCTGGTTACATACTCGATGCATGACATTCTTCCCTCCGCATGACATGTCCATACCACGCTAACTTATTACTAAAGATCGACATTATCAATAAATAATTAAAACAATCATTCATCGGTTACCACGGACTGTCTGACTGGGGCTATACTGAGAGCTATTTCCTTCCTATGATTGCAGGAATGTTTATATAAAAATTATAAGGAGTTCTCCAATAAGGACATAATAATTTTGTATTTCAATAAGACAGAACAATTTACCTATCGAGCTGAAATGTATTCCAGGTGCAGCACACTTGTTACCTTTAAGAATGGAACTCAATCTCGTTCATATGACCACCTCGAGCACGTTTGCAGCGGTCACATAGCTGGTCAAACAATCGATTTACTGAAGAGGAAGTTTGATAATCGTGTGATCTCGCGAAATGGTCCGGTCGAATGTCCACCTCGTTCATGTGATCCAACGCCGCTTGATTTCTTTTTATGGGGTTAGGTTAAGTCCGTTAGTTTATGCCAACAAGTCAACAACGTTAAATGAGCTTAGAAACAAGATCAAACGCCAAATTGCCAACGTGTAAGAGTGGTGGAAAATTGGCTCCAATACGTGCTCCCGGTGGTCATATGAACATGATCGAATTCCATTCTTAAATATAACATGTGTACCGCATATGGAATAAACTTCTGTTCGATATCTCCATTATTCTGTTTTTTTAAATTATTGAAAAACCCATAATATAAATTAATAATATTATCTTTATTGTTACCTGATGAAGGCATAGCCCTTGTCTTTGAAGACTCTGATCTCCTGGATAGTCCCGAAGGGCTGGAAGGTCTTCTGCATGAGTTCCTCAGTGAGTCCGGTAGTCAAGCCTCCACAGTACACGGTGCAGTTAGTGGGCGAGCTCTGGTTGTAGACCTCATCGAAGGTAAGGGGTTTTGAGTTTACTGGAAATCACAACGTTAATACGATTAAAAATCTATCACAATTCATATATAGCCTACTGCTGGACATAAGTATTAAGAATTAAAAATGTTGCGTATCTCCGTCGTTGCCGGTTGTATAATAATGTATTTCTTTTATTACAAATAAGTGACGGGACGGACAAGACGTGTGTCTGATGGTAAGCGACACGCCTGTCGTTAACAGTTGCAGTGCCATTCAGTGCTTTAAATCGCAAAGATCTGAGAGGCTCTGGCACTGCGCCCATCACCCTGAGACATAAGTTGACAAGTTTCAAACCAAAATAGATAAAGTGGCAGTACTTATTTGGACGATCTCTTTTACAAGGAGCTCTACTGCTAAAAAAAAATATACCAGTACAATAGAACAATAAGAAATTAAATTCGAATTTAATATTTTGCTAATACCAGGAAAGTGTTCTATTTACATAAGAAGATTACGTCTTTTACTCTTTAAAAATAAAAACCTTAAATAATACTTGAAGAAAGAAGAATTGTTTTGTCTCTAGAGTTCCGTAATCAAATGACAATGTGATTATAAAAAAACAACACTGAAAAAAATAAAACGGTTTACAATCAAGTTTTATTTGGCGAATTTATGATTAAATTCCATCATAAAGTGATAAATATTTATATTTTATCGAACATGATGATGCTTTTACTACCATGATATTCATCTATTTTTAACCGACTTCAAAAAAGGAGTAGGTTCTCAATTTTGGACATCTGTGAACCGATTTCGATGATTCTTTGTTGGAAAGAGATTTTTTTAAGTGACAGGGCGAACAAGTCGTGCTCCTAGGTAGAGTGAAGGGTAGAGAAAGTAGGGTAAGCCTGTCCTTAACAGTTGAAATGCCATTAAAAACTTGCCATGTCATTAAAACGAAAGAATCTCCTCTCTTTACAGCCGTACACGACACAATTCACGACCATTATAAATAGTAACGTCCAATGATGTTATATATTAACGTACAAGTTTCGTAATGAATACATGAGAACTATATTTATTTATTTATACGTTATTGTACAATACACTGAAGTATAAATGGCGGACTTAATGCCATAAGGCATTCTCTACTAGTCAACCATTGGGCCAAACAGAAAAAAAAACACAATAGGTTGGTGCTACACTTAAACAAGAAGAATATACTAGAAAACTAATCGATAATTTGTATGGTATAAATAAATAACATACCACAAACATACTTATTATACATACATAATAAACTTACATATATATATTATAATAATAAATAATATGGTATATGTACCCAAAGCAATATTATACAGTCTTAATTTTGACAATTGTCAAACAGATGCTTGCGCAACATGCGTTTGAAACATTGACTCACAATTATATGGACGTCGGGTCCGCGCTAAAAAGTGTCCGAACTTATAGGGCGTTAAAATCGTATACAGAGCGTCATTCACGCTCTAGTCTTCGTTTGTTCGACTGACAGCGAAGCAAGCAAAATTAGACAGTACTGCGATGACATTACAATTTAAATTCAACGTTTTAGCTTTTTCATATTCCTTGACATGTCATTACGTTTAAATAGGTTGACTTGGGACATTTTTTTCGTGGTTTTTGTATTAGACCCGTCGTCCATTTATTTGTAAGACAATGGTTTGAAAGACAATTTGGTCTGAGCTTGTCTTACATGGAGCGGGAGCGTGTTCCAAAGACGAATTGCATGAAGGGTAAAAGAATTAGACAAAAAATCAGTGCGATGAGAGGGAATAGAAAGCTTAAGGCTACGGGAAGATCGAAATACTACCTACCACATTTGAAAGAAAAAACTTAAATAAACTATATAGCATATATATAATTTTCTTTTTTCTGATTTGTCGTGGCAATTTAATATACAAAATACATGTTTTAAATTTTTTTTAGTGGTGGTGGGCGTTTTTTTATCATGCCTAAGTGGGCGGTGAGTCTGAAACTTTGGGAACCCCTGGTGTAAAGGATATATTTAGAATTTTGAAACGGGACACGTCTGACCCCGAGCCTGAGTAGGTTCAAGAAGCGGCGAAAGATACGTGCCGTATCCAACACTACCGCTTTCTGCATTATTATTATTAATATTATTAAATAGGCACACAACGGAACCAGGTATAATTTCCTCATATCCGTTTTCGTCTGTCGTAACTATCTAAGAGTCCATACTACCTTAGATTGAATTAAAATTTTTCCCCTACTGAATAGGTTCTATTGAACGGGCCGAACGGCAGGGGCACTGGCTTCTTTAGAATTATTTTTTTTACAATATGTAACAAACCTACTTAATGTAATAGACGGCCTTAAGCCAGATTGTTCACTTTTAGTTCTCTAAGAATCCGCTAGATGGCATTGACCCATTTGGCGTTATTTCTGAATCGCGGTGTTAAGATTTTCCCTCGAATGTTGACTACTTTAACACAATTGTGTTAATGGGAAGAGAAATCTGAGAATATAGAGAGCTCAGTAAGGCACCAGGAGTTGAGTCACTTCCTGGGAACTGCTAACCGGATCTTCTGATATTTCGTACGCTCATATAGGGTGAAATTGTATTGGCGACATACAAGGTAAAAATAAAAATCTTCTGAACCATTTGGAGTTTCACTTGGCTTGTTTTGGTAACCTCATCCAACGGAAGAAAGAACCTCCCTCCTTTACAAATCGAAATAAAAGTTATTTGAAAAATGTATAACGTATACTGTGCGTATTCTATTTAGCTCAGTAGATATAAAAAAAAAATTGGTATTATAAACGCCTATTGAATACAGCGGTTTTCTTGTAAAATTTCGAAGTAGGTTTGTGTTTTTTTTTCTCTATCGTAAAAATTTTTAGTATTTAGTGTAGTAATCAGAACACCAAGTCTGCTAATTTTAAATCGCCTCAGTTGCGTGTGGATAGAGTGTAAATGGTAGGATTTTGTACGTTTGGTATTCCGCTAAAAGTTATTCGACTGCCATTGCAAGTTTTTGGTAATCTGCTCTTCAATGGCCGATGGCATAGCGTATTAATGTTATATATATTTAATTCGTATACTATATTGCTGTTTTTAAACGAGATAAAAGTTAAGACATTATAACTAAGTACTAATTAAGACTGACAGTCAAATTATAATGGCTAGATAGATTTGTTTAAAATGTAATGTACAATGTAAGTGTAACTTCAAAAAACAGTTAATTCCTTTGGGGTGCATTTATTCGATATGAATTTCATCGTGCTCACCCCCGAGCGGAGTCTGCGTTGTCGCAGCAACCGCGTGCGTCTAACCTGTCATGGCAAAGTACGCTCTATTTATTTAGCTTTTACGTTTTAGCCAGCCTCCGACGAGGCTGGCTTGAATATGGTCTTGGTTTTGGAGGAATTTAAATGTTGTTGTCTAGTAAATAGAATTCGGCGCGGCGGCCGCGCGAAAACTTTTTCCTCGTTTAACGTGGGCGCTAACGCAGCTTTTTCTCAAAATACTGCTATGATAGTGTTGTTATAAATAAATCAACCATATGTGACTTTTTCATTGAAAAAAAAACAGACGTCAAAACTTTGGTTATCGGCTTTTTTCGATTTCCATGGGGTCCTTTCATTGACTTACAAATAAATGGACGACGGGTCTAATACAAAAACTACGAAAAAAATGTCCCAAGTCAACCTATTTAAACGTAGTAACATGTAAAGGAATATGAAAAAGCTAAAACGTTGAATTTAAATTGTAATGTCATCGCAGTGCTGTCTAATTTTGCTTGCTTCGCTGTCAGTCGAACAAACGAAGACTACAGCGTGAATGGCGCTCTGCATACGATTTTAACGCCCTATAAGTTCGGACACTTGTTAGCGCGGACCCGATGTCCATATAATTGTAAGTCAATGGGTCCTTTCGTTAGATTCTGACTGTTTGGTGACAATGGGACTTTTACGGACTTCTTTGTACATTTTATAATTTGTTTTTTTCTAGTTGACGTGTTGACGGTGATTTGTTGATTACATGTATTATGGCAAATAAAAAGTCGAATTTATTTGCGGAAAATATTTTTTTATGTTGTGATAGCCGAAACGAACCCGGAACAGCATCGTCGGCATCAGGAACCACCTCGAGAGTATACCCTTTCTAATAAAAAATATTTTCAAAATTGGTCTACAATTGATGGAGAAATCGGTGAGTACACGACATGCCTATAAAATTTGAGGATTTACCTCGATTTCCATGGATCCACCACTGGCACAATGGGACAATGGGAAAACGGTGACAATGGTAACACCAAGATTGTACCCCTTCAAACAAAAATAAATTTTGAAAATCGGTCCACAACTGACGGAGAAATCGGAAAACATTCATAAAACATACATTTTTTTTTATTCGGTTCACAAAACTGGATACAACTCTTAAATCAAATACAACAGATTGGTTAACATTATAAGGCGAGAAGAGTGTGTCCTTCTAGATGTGAACACAGCGTTTCGTATTTAAAACAAAGTGCTTAAACAAAATTATAGTAAATTAAGATTTACATATCTACTATTTATGGAATAGGAAACAGACAACTAAAATTCATCGCGCAGTCACTATATAATACATTTTCTTATTGAGTTTCTAGCTGAGACCACAGAACAAGAGAATATGTCAAAATCATATCTGATAGCATTATAATAAGAGCACATGCGATACACTGGACTGTGTTGACCAAGGTTGGTTCTGCAAGTAGGGAGTGCGAAAGTTTTACGATTGATTAGGCGACTTCCGGGACGAGGTACAGATACAAGCACTCGAGTATATCAGGGTACATACCGCCCAACGTGGAACCTCCTCCTTTTTTTGCAGTCGGTTAAAAAGCATTCATGGCCTATCTGTTTCGTTTTCACTCACATTCAGCCCTATTATAAACGTTCATTTAGTCCTGGTACATTCGACGAAATCGACCCCTTTTCCCCCACGTTCTCAAGTTTCTGATTTTATAGCTACGGAACGTGCGTGCCCGACTCGCTCTTTGTCAGTTTTATT